GGAGCACTCAGTAGATGCAACATTCGTCTGGTGCTTCTTCGCCCTCCAGCATCTTTTCAAAATCCGCCACAAAATCACAGCTTATGTTATGTTATGTATGCAATGATGATCGGATGTTGACCAATAACAAAAAAGATTAAAATATAAAAATTAAAACACAAAGTTTTGATAAACTTAAGAACTAGAAAATAAGAAAATTTATCGGTACAGATACTAAACCTTCAAATTTTACTAATAGTACATAAATTAAATTATTATAAAATTTTGTAAAACAATCATAAAGCAAATTAAAAAAAAAATGTGACCAAATTTTCTTGCATTACAATAACTAAACACAGTACATTAATAATTGACAGCAAAAAGGCACACCAAACAAAACATAAAGAGAGCAACTAGGAAAAACACAAAAAAAAATAAAATACAACAAAAGAAAATAAGCAATGAAGAAATAGACTAATTGACATGGTCTTGGAAAGGGGTGAGACATTCTAATTCTATTTTGTCTGCCAGATAGAGCAAACTGTTTGAACAAAAGAGAGACCAAGTAGAACAATGGCAGCAATGGTAGCAGCAGTTTGCCAAGGTCCTTTACAGTAATCACGTCTTAGAGTTGACTTCAATTTAAGACGACGACTTTTATACGAAGCATCCAACTCTTGCCAGAGAGAAACATAATCAGAACTGAAATCTGACAAAACAATATTTCTGCAGAGACGCTTGGTCCTTTCAGCTGCAGCATCGCTGTCACCTAATAAGTTTTCCACAATTCCATCTCTAACGAGAATATCCACATCCTTTCCCGTGTTCACTAAGTATTGCAGAACAAGAGCATACTCTGTAATGTATCCCTCATCAGGATAGTGAAACTGCTCCAAAACCACCATGTTGCGAAACAACTCTTCAGTAGAATCAGACACACTAAATTTTGGGATTTTAAGAACCCTTCTTGAAAAGCTTAAGTTTAGTAAGCACTTACTTTCTGTGCTTGCAAACTTTATTCCTGCTTCTGATAACTTAGTAACACTAGGAATATGCGGCCATTGGTTGGTTCTTGTAGTTTGATTTCTTTCATATAAGTGAAAAGTTCGTAACAGATCGGTGAAGTGATGACATGTAATAAAATTAGGAGACAAATTGGACTTATTGAGAGACTGAAAGTATTCAAAGGTAAGTTTGATGAATGGAGAGATGCCATTATTTCCAAAATTACCAGTAGACTGACAAAAGAGATAATTAAGAACAAAAAAAGGAAGTTGGTTCTCAAGTAACAACAAATCAGAAAATATGGTATTTCCCAACCATGGTGTTGAAAGATACATGTCATCTGTCCCATATTTAGTTGTCCAAAAGAGTTCAAGTATAAAACCTGAATCCACAGAGATTATCTCTACCAGTTTGTTCGGGGTGAATTGAAGTGCGTCTGAATAACAGTGACGAATTAGGGGCTCCTTAGATGCTATATTGTGGATCCAGCTTTCCGTACTTGTATTGGTTCGTTCAAGAAATGACTTCAAATACATAACTTTGTGTCTTTCCATATTCTGAAGATGGAGACTATTATGGTGATAAGGGCCTATGGAAACAACCTTTGGAGTATAAGCTTCTTTGTTGAGTTGGCGAATAAGTAGAGGTACTCTGTAAATGCAACACTCTTTAGTTATGGGTGGGCTTGCTCTCTCCAGCATTCCTTTAACATGGATCACAACATCATCCGTGTTCATCATTTTACTGATCTAAACAGACAAAAATGGAAGAAATTAAAGTAAGTTAGATTCCAAAAACCAAAACCAGAATTAGAATGATGAAACTATCAAATAATCTGATAGTGGGAATTATGGCAGATCTTAAACAATGTAAAAATTTAGCACTCACCGTACTGCATACTCTGTTTGAAAAATCAACAAAATAATGACCATTGATTTACCAATATCAAAGCTTTTAGACCCACTCATTAAATATTTTATTATTAGTACTCACCTCACTCAAATTCTAACAGTAACATCCCAAAAATTACTCTATCTCACTCATTGCCTAGTGACTTCCACTAAGACATAAATGTCTAATTGTGTTGTTGATACAAGTTGTTTGTTTAAAAAAATATATTCTCCTGGCAATTAATTATTTATACGTAACTAATCAAGTTCACACTTCTACCATCAACTATCATGTAGTACAATCATTATGCCGAGAGATTATTGTCGGACATTTTTCTTTTTCATGTGAAGGCCCAAATTCTGGACTAGACGTAACAATTGGTGATGCAAGGCCCAATAACTCACAACAAAATGAATATCTGATTTTATTTATTACTAGAGACTTGTTTGTTTTGTTGTTGGGTTGTCTTATTTTTGTGTTTTCCTAAAAATAGAACCAAACATTTTAGCAACTTTAAAAAGAAAATATCATTATAACGTGTTAATAAGATGAAATGTGAGCATACCAATAACTATTATTCAGAGGAGTCAATGTCTAAAATTAAATGTTCGTTTTAATCTGATCCTCATGCATTTGTATGATAACAGTGATTATGATAATCATTTTGGTTCGGTTATATGGAAACTTATTAAAGATGATTTGGTTATGATGAGAGAGGAGAAACAAATTCTAAATTATATTATATTAATTTTTTTTATATGGAGACATCCTGTAATAGGGAAGACTTAATCATATAAGTGAAAAAAAATTTAATTGTGTAGATAAAAAGAATATGCCTTCGAGACTGAAAAATGTAGAGTTGAAAAAAATGTTCTCATTGCTGGTAAATAGACTTAAGAGTCATTTAATAAGCATCTTCTCACAAGGAAGTTGTCAATGTTGCTTGAACATGCATTATGTTATTTATGGTACATCGAAGATAAAATCGTTTAATAATATACTTTACTTTATTACTTTTATTTATGATTGTTGTAAAAAATTAGAGTCAATATTTGAGAGAAAGGATTATGCATTAAAAAGTTCAAAAAATTTCACGGTATAGACACAATCATGTAAGAAGTTAAAATACCTTTATATTAATAATCTAATAATGATATTAATTATCTTAGATTCTTTGATGTTTATTGCAAAATAACCAAATGATAAGTTGAATAAAAAGGGAATGTTATTGTCTGATGTAGTTATCAACTAAGAACAAATCTACTCTTATATAAGGTATTGAAAGAAACTTATCAGATTAGTCATCATAATATTCTATCAAAAATAGTTTAAGTATAAAACCAAAAATACATAAAAAGATCTTTTGCTGCTTAATCAATTGTTATGAATAATAGCTACAAAATTAAAATCCATTCTTCTCCTAAATAGATCAACTCTCCAAACTTGATTAGTCTTTCACAGTGTACTACTGTAGAATCGCTTTTTGTGGACGAATAAAAATGACTTATTATAACAGGTGGCTTGGCTTCCAGTTTTTTGGACTCATAAGTTGTGCTTTTTATGATTGTGGCAGAAAAATACATCATAATGAAGTTCAACATATATGACGTCGCCACCTATCATAATAGGTGTGGTGTTATGACTATTTTGACGTGGGTTGAATTTACCTATCATAACATTGATGTGATCAATCTTATGACAAGTAATTGATTTACTGTCACAATCTATGCTTTTTCAAGTTAACCATTATTGCATACATGGTTATGTAGTTCATAATTTTTTTAATTCATTATTACATTTGACATTCAATCATTTCCTGTATATAGTCATCATCCCATCAATAAACTTGAAATAAAGAGATTCAATTGAACTAACAAATGAAATTCATTTCAAACATTAAATTGTTTAATAATAATTAATACATAATGTGTATATCATATAATAGTAAATCCAAATATTACATTAACGTTATATACACTATAAATTGTAGTCAAGTTTTTGAATTTACTAACACTTAAAATAAAATATGTCCACTTGGTTCAATGTCTTTAATATATGAAAGTTCGTATTCATGGAGATAATCATTCAAGATCTACAAATAAAATAATTGAGTTAAAAAATTTTAATAATCAAGGATAGATAAGTTATTAATTGTTTTTTTAATCACCATATAAAAATAAAGATGGGTGGAACTAAACTTGTTTGTAAAGTTCGGAAATCTATTTAATAATTACCCCCATTCCACCTTTGGTACATGAATAGACCGTTAGATTAGATAAAATCACAAGCATATAAATCATCCTAACATTTCTATATATATCTTCATTCAGGTTCTCATGTACACAGCTTAAAATAAAAGAGGAAGCAAAAACACAGAGTTATTTGCTGGAAAATTTATGTAAGTAGAATGTTTACCTAAGTAATCCAGTACAGTTGTGGAGTCAAGTCTTACTGTATGTCTGCATTGACAACAAAAGAAGTGTCCTACAAACTCTTCATATTCCTTGAGTAAAAAAAAAAGGACCTCAGAGATACAACATTCGTCAGTTACGGCTGCCTCCTCGCCCTCCGGTATCGAATTAAAACACAGTTTTGATAGCTTAAAAACTAGAAAATAAGAAAATTTTATCCGTACAAATACTAAACCATAAAATTTTACTAAGAGTACATAAATTAAAATTATTTCAAATTTTGTAAACACATCGTAAAGCAATTAAAAAAAAAAAATGTTCCTAATTTTCTTGCCATTACAATAACTAACACTACATTATAATTGACAGCAAAGGGCACACCACAACAAAACATAAAGAGATAGAGTTATCTGTCAAGTGAGCAATTAGGGAAGCACAAACAAATAAAATACAACCAAAAAAATACATAAAAGACAAACAAGGAAGAAATAGACTAATTGACATAGTCTTGGGAAGGGGTGAAACATTCTAATACTATTTTGTCTGCAAGATCGAGCAAACTGTTTGAACTAAAGAGAGACAAAGTAGAAAAATTGCAGCAATGGTAGCAGCAGTTTGCCAAGGCCCTTTACAGTAATCACCTCTTAGGTTGACTTCAATTTAAGACGACGACTTTTATACGAAGCATCCAACTCCTGCCAGAGAGAAACATAATCAGAACTGGAAATCTGACAAAACAATGTTTCTGCAGAGACGCTTAGTCCGTTCAGCTGCAGCATCACTGTCACCCAATAAGTTTTCCATGATTCCATCTCTAACGAGAATATCCACATCCTTCCCCGTGTTCACTAAGAGTTGCAGAACAAGGAGCATTACTTGTGATATCCCTCATCAGGATAGTGAAACTGCTCCAAAGCCACCATGTTGCGAAACCAGTTCAGTATAATCATCCACTCTAAATTTGGGATTTAAGCATCCTTCTTGAAAAGCTTATGTTTAGTTAGCACTTGCTTTCGTTATTGCAAACTTTATTCCTGCTTCTGACCACTTATTAACACTTGAATTTGTGGCCATTGGTTCCTCTCCATGAGTAGTTTTGTTTTCTCCACATAAGTAAAAGTTCGTAAGAGATCGTAGATCATGATGACATTGGATCAGAAGACAAATTGACTCATTGAGAGACTGAAAGTATCCAAAGGTAAGTAGGATGAATGGAGGGATGTCATTATTTCCAAAATTAGCCACAGACAGACAAAAGAGATCATGAAGAACAAAAAAAGGAAGTTGGTTCTCAAGTAACAACAAATCACAAAATATGGTAGTTGCAAACCATGGTAATGAAAGATACATGTCATCTGTACCATAGTTACTTGTCCAAAAGAGTTCAAGTATAAAACCTGAATCCACAGAGATTATCTCTACCAGTTTGTTCGGGGTGAATTGAAGTGCGTCTGAATAACAGTGACGAATTAGGGGCTCCTTAGATGCTATATAGTGGATCCAGCTTTCCATACTTGTATTGGTTCGTTCAAGAAATGACTTCAAATACATAACTTTATGTCTTTCCATATTCTGAAGATGGAGACTATTATGGTGATAAGGGCCTATGGAAACAATCTTTGGAGTATAAGCTTCTTGGTTGAGTTGGCGAATAAGTAGAGGTACTCTGTAAATGCAACACTCTTCAGTTATTGGTCGGCTTGCTCTCTCCAGCATTTCTTTAACATGGATCACAACATCATCCGTGTTCATCATTTTACTGATCTAAACAGACAAAAATGAAAGAAATTTAAGTCAGTTAGATTCCAAAAACCAAAATAAGAATTAAAATGATGAAACTATCGAATAATCTGATAGTGAGAATTATGACAGATATTAAACAATGTAAAAATTTAGCACTCACCATACTGTATACAGTAGTAGCACAACTTAAAAAATCTTATACAGACACTTGTATTCTGTTTGAAAAATCAACAAAATATGACATTGCTTTACCAACATCAAAGCTTTTAGACCCACCTCATTGAATATTTTATTATCTGCACTCACGTCACTTTCATGCAAACAATAATATCCCAAAAATTTCTCTCTCATTCAATGATCAGAGACTTCCACCAATTGAAGTTGGCTGTTAAAAAAAAATATTCTTGTTTAAGGTAAATTTCCGGCAATTAATTATTTATACGTAACTAATCAAGTTCATAATTCTACTGTAAAAGGCTTTTTATATCAATTAAAAAAACTGTTTATACTGACTTTCAAACAGATACAAAATAAAAATTTAAAAGTTAATTGACTTTTTATAAGATTCTTATCCAAGCCACAGCTTCCCAGATAAACACCATACCATTACAATCCTCTCAATAACACTTACTGAAAATCAAGAAAGTAAATAAAAGAATGCCCTTCAGCAGTGCACACAAACCAAGTAAACAATAGCACTAGCAAAAGAAAAAGAAAAACATATACAAGTCTTAGACCAAAACTCACATTCTAGCAAAGCAAGAATAACTAACATAGGAAGAAAGCCAGTTCATTCAACATACGAAATGGGAAAAAGCATATTTTGCAGAAATGCTCAAATAACCACCAGGCTTTTCTGAAAACCCAATTCAGGAAACTCCAATTAACTTTCCCGAAACTCTCATCTGCCGAAGAAACCACTTACACTAAGTAAACAGCAGAAAATGAAAAACGGAAAAATTTGCACATGGAAGTCAACGAAGAAGTTGCTTTCAGAGGTTTTCAGATGAATGTGTGGAAGTGAATGGAAGAGCGTAATAAACAGTGTGGAACGCGAAGAAGTGAAGACTTAGACCATTCCAACGCGAAGACTTGTGAAATGTACTTCCCTCACTTAGAAAGAAAAATAATTCAGACACCACGGGCTATTGAAGTGAATGCAGTGTGAGGAATCCCTCCATCTGGCCACTGACTCACTCACGATGGTGAGAACTTGAACCAATGACAACTAGCAAACAACAGTTTCATCTAAGTTTCATCTAACCACCGTGACTACAACTTTCAACAATGACAACCTATGCAAAAAGTTAAATAAAACAGTGAACGAAACATTGACAAGAAATACAGATGCAGAAAAGAAGGAGAACAAGCAAAATCTTAATCAATCTATAGGAATAAGTTATCTAATACTACATTTATACTACTTAAATCCGTGTACAAATCACTTTGATTTCATTAAATGAAAACTTATTTAAGATAACTTGGTTATGTGAAAAGAGGGAAACAATTATAAATTGTATTAGACTAAATTTTTTGTTGTTAAAGACAATGTGAATTTACGTATATGGGACATCTTTGTAACACGAATGAATTGATTATATAAGTGAAAAAAGATTTAATTTCATAAATAAATAAATAAAAAGAATGTGTTTTTGACGTTGAAAAGTGCAGGGTTAAAAAAATATTTTGGTAAACAAATTAGAATATCTTTTAATAAGTATATTTTCACAAAAAAGTCGTGAGTGTTGCATAAATTAGTGCATTACGTTGTTTATGATCCATTGAAGGTATACTCGTTTAATAATATACTTTACTTTGTTATTGTTATTTACGATTGTTCTTAAAAAAGTAAAGTCTATGTACTGCACAGAAAGGATTATGCATCAAAAAGTTCATGCTTTGATCGTGAGATAATGATGCAAGAAGCTGAAATGTTGATCCATTGATGTGTATTGTAAAATAACCAAATGAATAAACAAGGGAATATTATTGTCTGATGTAGGAAATGGGGATTAAAGAGGTTGTCAAAAAGAAGTTAGTTATCAAGAAAGAACGAATCTACTCTTATATAAGGTATTGAAAGAAACTTATCATCTTGAGACGAGGGTGGCGGTTATGGTGAAAAGGGCCTACAAATTATTTATATCCGTAGAGTTTACAAAAATATAAAAGGGCACTCAGTAGATGCAACATTCACCATTTACGGGTGTCTCTTCGCCCTCCAGCATCTCCTCAAAATCATACTTTATGTTCTATATGCAATGATGATCAAATGTTGACAAATAACAACAACGATTAAAATACATAATTTATAGATATAAGAATTAAAACACACTTTTGATAAACTTAAAAACTAAAAATTAAAAACTAAACTAAAGGCACACCAAACAAAACATAGAGAGCAGAGTTACTGCCAAGTGAGAAACTAGGAAAAGCACAAAAAATAAAATACAACAAAAAAAACATAAAAAACATGGAAGAAATAGATTAATTGACATGGTCTTCCGGTGAGATATTCTAATACTATTTTGTCTGCCAGATAGAGCAAACTGTTTGAACTAAAGCGAGACCAAGTAGAAAAATTGCAGCAATGGTAGCAGCAGTTTGCCAAGGTCCTTTACAGTAATCACGTCTTAGAGTTGACTTTAATTTAAGACCACGACTTTTATAAGAAGCATCCAAGTCTTGCCAGAGAGAAACATAATCAGAACTGAAATTATTCAAAATAATATTTCTGCAAAGACGCTTGGTCCATTCAGCTGCAGCATCACTGTCACCTAATAAGTTTTCCATAATTCCATCTCTAACAAGTATATCCACATCCCTCCCCGTGTTCACTAAGTATTGCAGAACAAGAGCATACTCTGTAATGTATCCCTCATCAGGATAGTGAAATTGCTCCAAAGCCACCATGTTACGAAACAACTGTTCAGTAAGATCAGATATTCTAAATTTTGGGATTTTAAGAACCCTTTTTGAAAAGCTTAAGTTTAGTAAACACTTACTCTCGGTGATTGCAAACTTTATTCCTGCTTCTGACAACTTAGTAACACTAGGAATATACCGCCATCCCTTGGTTCTTGTAGTTTGTCTTCTTCCACATAAGTAAAAAGTTCGTAATAGATCGGTGAAGTGATGACATGTTGTAATAAGATTAGGAGACAAATTAGACTTATTGAAACACCGAAGGTATCTAAAGGTAAGTACCATGAATGGAGAGATGTCATTATTTCCAAAATTAGCCATTGACAGATAAAAGAGATCATGAAGAACAAAAAAAGGAAGTTGGTTCTCAAGTAACACCAAATCATGAAATATCGTAGCTTCAAACCATGGTGTTGAAAGATATATGTCATGTGTCCCAAAGTTACTTGTCCAAAAGAGTTCAAGTATAAAACCTGAATCCACACAGATTATCTCTACGAGGTTGTTCGGGGTTAATTGAAGTGCGTCTGAATAACAGTGACGAATCAGGGGCTCCTTAGATGCTATATAATGGATCCAGCTTTCCATACTTGTATTGGTTCGTTCAAGAAATGACTTCAAATACATAACTTTGTGTCTTTCCATACTCCGAAGATGGGAGCTATTATGGTGATAAGGGCCTATGGAAACAACCTTTGGAGTATAAGCTTCTTGGTTGACTTGCCGAATA